TATATATATATATATATATAGTCAAGTACGGGTAAGGGAAAAGGTTAAAAAAACACATCCCAAGCTCAACATCACATATGTGGGGGAGGCAAAACACCTTTAAATAGTTTTACCATTTCCCCCAACTAATTTTTTTTCAGTACACGAGTGTTAAAATGCACCATGCTTAAGTTTGAGAATGCACTATATATCAGCGTTATCAACAGCATGAGATACTGCCATAGTGCCGCTGCCATAACCGATATACGCACAAGTTTCTAACAGCGGTTAGGCAGACACCCACCACACCATACCGATATGACAAAAATTTGGTAACGGTGCTAGATATGTAGCATGGAACAAGTCATTAATTAACATGTGAATATAACGAAGTAGAATAGATATCAAGATTACAGAAACAAATCAGGTCTAAAGGTTTGTGGACTTGCAATTTCGTCATAGAAACTACCCCTTGAAGAGCACCAGATGTGCCACCAAGGATTGGAAGAAGAGCAAACAGCAAACCCACTGCACAGTCCTGGCAAGCAGAGCCATCTCAAACTTCAGAAAAATGTTTATAAATGTCAAGTACTACAGAACTTAAAGGCTTCATCAAAGCTTAATTTCCGAGCATCATAAACAAAACAAGTCAGTGTTGTTTACAAGTGTATGGACATGTACAGAGAATCTGGGTACTCCCAAATTATCACTGAAGATACAAATGTAAAGTTGATACAGACCTGCAGAATAAGGGTTCCAACAGTAACCTGGCCATGTAATGTATTGATACTATTCCTTTCCATCAAAAATTTTAGAACCTGCATGCCAATAATATATAAATGCATTAGTTGGCATAAGGCCATCACCAAGAAGAGAGACAGAAATACTGTTATATCAGTGTTATACTGAACTTCTGGAGGATTATAATGGATATATTTAAATACAGGTTAAGTTTGAAAGTCCAGCTAAAGAATTAGAATGTAACCATTCCAGGGCCACTTCCATTACTTCTACTAGGTAATTAATTAAAATGTGGGCAATTTTCTATTCCATGCCTTGTTTCTGCCATTGCTGTGAACAGGCTTTTAAAGGGGAAAAAACTACTTAAAAATAGTAAAATACATAAGGTTTCTAGAGGAACTTCTACTGCTGAATTGCTTATTAACACGTACTAGATTTCCAGGAGCTTGGAAATGTAGCATATCCCACCTATGTATAATTTCAGAACGTGTTGAGCCTAAGTGACAGGCTCGCACGCTCCATAATCTGATTTGTCACAGATATATGCTTTGGTTGATAAATGTCAGGCTCAGTTGCCACATCATTTGCCTACTATGTTTGGATATTTTCAAAAAATCAGTAATACTTTCCTTTATTCTAATTTTCTCTTCTTCTATTAATCATTTATCATCTTTGGCTTATCAATCAATCAATATATCTATTATATAAATTTATCTTCCATATTATTATCCAATTTTTCATTTATTCTCTTTTAATATTTCATCACTCTTGATAATTTTATTTATTATTCCTTTTTGTTCTTCTTCTTCACGCAAAATTATATACATTACTCCTTTTTAATATCTTTCTTTGTGTACCATTTTTTTCCCTTTATTTCTTCATTTCCTCAACAAAGTTATCCCCGGCCATGGTCGTTATGTTTTAACATAAGTACAAACCCAACTCTGGTAATTGTCCTAAACCTTTTCAATTTCATTTTTTATGTGAAATGAAATAATTAATTTCTCTTTAAAAATCAAAAAAAAAAAATGAAAATCGAAAAACTACACAAACTGGAAGAAACAAATCAAATTCGAAAATTCACTTAACAAAATAAAATAAATAAGTATATTTTTTAAATTATGTCAAAACCTTGAAAAGATAAATAGTTTGCATACAAAAATAAGACAATTTTCATAAAATTAAAAACGTTTGAACGTTACAAGAGAGTGCAACATCAATAGGGCATTAGTTAGTATAGGTTGGATAAAAAAAAAAAATATATATATATATAATAATTAATAATAATAATAATAATAATAATAAATTATTAGTTTATTACATTCTAATTAGTATTTTATTAAATTTATAAACTATATAAAAAATTGTATTTAATAACAAAGATGAATAGAAATAATAACATTAATTGTAAAGGTACATTAGAGTGTCAAACTATTTCAATATATTTAAAATATATGAGTTGAAATAAAAATAATTAATTGCTTGGATTGACGATATAAATATAAACCATTGGCACAAAATAATCAACTCAAGAAGAATTTTGCAAAGTTACAATCCAGTTCGGAAATAACTTAGAAAAGTTTGGAACAAAATTCATGGTGTTGGAGTTAATATTTGTTTCAAACATATTTTTATTTATATTAAGCTCATAGTGCACTCAATAACATTGATATCCAAGGTCGTATGATATGGATTACATAAAATATGAGATTAATGTGATTAAAAAGTTATCATTTAAGAAGTCACATGTAATATATGAATCCCATTTTGAATAAACTAAGAATGTAGTTTTCAAATAAGTCGACAACTTAGTATATACTTATTTTTTAAAACTTATATATATATAATAAAGTTTTAAAATATAAGCATAAAAGTATCTATACTAAATGTTGATACCCGTAAAGTGCACGGATGTTTAGCTTTCTATTTCCTCAAGCACTCCAATTGTGCACCTTTGACAAATACTGTGCAAACAGTGGCAGACTCCAAATGCAGTTTAGTTTTCATAGAAAGAAAGATAAGAATACAAGGAGCCAGGATATTTTCAACCTGAATAGCAAATAAGCTTGATACTTTGTGACTTATTCATATTTTACTTTGTGACTTATTCATATTTTACTTTGTGACATTCTATGGGCACCATGGAAAACTCCGCAGTACATATACACCATAGCAGTCTTCTCTGTAGTATTGGACTATTAGCTTAGATATTGCAGTGGGTATCCCTGGATGTAAACATCCTTAAATTCTTAAACCATGGGTAAGCAATTCGAGGTTTCAAATGACAGAAAAATATCCTGATAAATGTACATAACAGCAATGTAACCTGTTGTACTATATATAAGAAAGTATTATTCCATAAATTTAGAGAAAAATGGGAAACTGAAAGCACTCTACAGGATAATTATCTGTAATCTCACAACAACAAAAAAAAAATCACTTCAGAACAAAAATATGACAAAATAAAAAGGTACCACTGCCGTCGAAGACATCGAGAGGAAGACACCAACAAATACACCTTCAGATGCTTCCCCACCACATAACTGTAAATGAAATGGTCACCTATAGGTATCAGAACTAGAACAGGATGAAGGATTATACAAGCAAACTCAGAAATATCTGAAGGTATGCAGACCAAATATTAAAGAATATTGGGGAATAATGATTCAGAAATCCAGAAATTTTAGGTCGATGCTTCATCACTGAAATTTAGTAGAAGACTTCATCAATCCTTCAGTGGTATGTATAACAACATTTTGACAGCAAAGTTGTGCAACATCTAAAACACTGAGAAGAGAAAGCATACTGATGCAGTTATCCCACTCAAGCACAGAAACAGAAATATCTGAAGCAACCCACCAAAGACAGCAACTGCTCGCACAACACGAATCTGCATTATGATGGCATTACTGTTGCATTACTTCAATAAATCTTGTAATGTCGCACAACATGATGTTAAAAAA